GCCATTCTCCGCACCAAGCTCCCAACTCGTCAAATAGACTGAGACCATCTTGTTCTGCATGTCTTCAATCGAACCAGTTCAAGGTCTATATTCGAGTCTAGGAGTAGATAATGCCAAGTAACATTGAAAAATGAGCAAGATTTTCAGGTCATCAAATTCTGCATTTTCCCATATCCTTCTTCGTTAGAGCAGATATGAAAGCATCTTCATGTTGTCAAGTTTGGGAGCCTAACGCCTGCTTACTTTGTGTGACATTATGAATAAAATCGACTCACATAGTAGGCCAACTGTACATGAAGTTAAAGCACCAAATAAGGCCCTCGCTAACAAGGGCAAAATGATTTGAGTACATGGTATTTGGTGGTAAAAATAACGAAAGACTTGAAAAAAGAAATAGTCAAAGTACTAAGACAATAAGAAATTTAACAGCTATGGTCTAACACTAACATGATAGTTCATCCGCTTTTAAGCTTAGTCGGATTCTGTCCTAGTTCTTTCAGGAATTAATATCTTGTTGAGCTTACTTTCATTTCGAGTGGAAGTGTTGGGTGAAGAGATTCAAGTTCGGTTCCACCAGAAGACGACGGCCGATTCCTCTTGACCAGTTGTCGATTGGCTTTACTGGAAAATTCATGCTGACGCTGTTTCCGAGGTTCGTCATGTGACGAATTTCATCATCGTCACAACCAAATTCAGTTAACGAGTTAAGAAAACTGACCGAAAAACCCCTAAAAAGTGGTGTATATACTCTACATCTGACCTTTTTGATCAGGTAAAAAGTGATTTTGTTAGTTGCAATCATCTGTCAACCTCGTGGCCTGTGAATATCTGTATCTGTATGTCTTTGTAACAAGTTTTCTTGACTCGTTAGCTTGAATTTGGTTGTGACGATGATACCCTCGAAGCTTTGATGATGTTCGTCACATGACGGACGAAAGCTTAGCACCTTTTCACCGGAACCGAATGAGATTTAATGTTACAGTAAAGCCAATCGACAACTGGTCAAGAGGAATCGGCCGTCGTCTTCTGGTGGAACCGACCTTCGAATCTCTTCACCCAACACTTCAATCGAAATGGAAGTAAGTTCAACAATTACGAATGATAACTTCATTGTACATTGTTTTAGATACGAAGAGAAACTGGGTTTCGATGAATGCCGAAACACTTGAAAAAAGTAATAGTCAAAGTACTAACAACAATAAGAAATTTAACAGCCATGGTCTAACACTAACATGATAGTTCATCCGCTTTTAAGCTTAGTCGGATTCTGTCCTAGTTCTTTCAGGAATTAATATCTTGTTGAGCTTACTTTCATTTCGAGTGGAAGTGTTGGGTGAAGAGATTCGAAGTTCGGTTCCACCAGAAGCGATTTCTCTTGGGCAGCTGTCGATTGGCTTTACTGGAACGTTCAATCTCATTCGGTTCCGGTGAAAAGGTGCTAAGCTTTCGTACGTCATGTGACGAACATCATCAGACCATCGAGGGTATCATCGTCACAACCAAATTCAAGCTAACGAGTCAAGAAAACTTGTCACAAAGCCATACAGAGACAGAAAAGACGATTCAGAAAAGACGAATCTTCCAGAAAGAGCATCAGAGATCGGTTCTATCCAATCAAATTGGTCTCCGATCTGTATGGATCCAGAGTGACCAAAAGTTAAGGAATATTCTTATTTTAGATTTCATAATTTATAAGCGAAGTTCAGTTGGGTTTCATAATTGTTGAGCTTACTTCCATTTCGAGTGAAAGTGTTGCGGGAAGAGATTCGAAGTTCGGTTCCACCAGAAGACGATCAGCAACAGATTCCTCTTGACCAGCTGTCGATTGGCTTTACTGACACATTCATGCACGAACACATATTCTTATTCAAAAAAGACGATTCTTCCAGAAAGAGCATCAGATATCGGTTCTATCCGATCAACTCCGATCTGTACGGATCCAGAGTGACCAAAAGTTAAGGGATGTTCTTACTTAAGATTTCATAACTTATAAGCGAATAAAAGTTTGGTTTCGAGAAATCTACTGTTTCATAATTATTGAGCTTACTTCCATTTCGAGTGAAAGTGTTGCGGGAAGAGATTCCTCTTGGCCAGTTGTCGATTGGCTCTACACGAACATTCATGCTGACACTGTTTCCGATGCAATTTCGTTCGATTCCGGTGAAAAGGTGCTAAGCTTTCGTTCGTCATGTGACGAATAGCATCAGCGCAAGGTTCCATCGTCGCAACCAAATTCAAGCTAGCGAGTCAAGAAAACTCACCGACAAATCCCTAAAATGTGGTATATATACTCTACATCTGACCTCTTTGATCAGGTATAAAGTGATTTTGTTAGTTGCTATCATATGTCAACCTCGTAGCCTGTGAATATCTGTCTTTGTATGTCTTTGTGACAAGTTTTCTTGACTCGTTAGCTTGAATTTGGTTGTGACGATGATACCCTCGATGCTCTAATGATGTTCGTCACATGACTGGCGAAAGTTTAGAACCTTGTCACCGGAACCGAATGAGATCGAATGTTCCAGTAAAGCCAATCGACAGCTGGTCAAGAGGAATCGGCCATCGTCTTCTGATGGAACCGAACTTCAAATCTCTTCACCGCACACTTTCACTCGAAATGGAATTAAGCTTAACAATTATGAAACAAGAGATTCCTCGAAACACACATTTTCTTCGTATATTAATATCCTGTTTATTGGCAATTACAAAGCCATTAATGGACCGATATTTCAACCTACGACATCAAAATAACGAGGAAGTAGCCTCGGCAACTAGCCAAATAGACTGATTACATTGTCCCATGATGGTTTCTAGGGTTGCTGGGGCAACGTTTCTGGTATAGTCGGTAGTAAATGTATTTGGTAATTTGAAGTAAATTAGAGGAAGTTGGCCAAAAAAAACATAGATTTATCCCTAAAAATGCATAAAAGTACATGTTTGGAGAAGCAGACGCAAGAACTACAGGCCGTCATTTGGACGGTGGCAGATGGAATAAGTCTGCTTATGCTGACCTCATGTCGAAAAGGAACAAGAACCGCGCTAAAATTTCGGGTACACAATGCATTTTTACAGCTCATGCATGTGTAAAAATTACCAAAATTGAAGTTTTTTTTCAAAAATGATAGAAACTCAACCTTGCTTTATGCTACATGGGCAAGTAATTAATCTAAATGGGCAGAACCGAAGCAAGGTCTGATTTTGCCTAAACGTATAGGAATGACTATGAACCAACATGTTATGAATTCGACACATTCTGAGCTTGCAGTTGGCATTTGCGATTCATTTGCAGTCATGCTCTATGATTATTCTATCAAGATCACCTCCAGTCTCAATGCATGAAACGCCAGATGGCCAAAAGTCGGACGAAACTTGTGACATCGAAGCCCCATGCCCGGTTGGGAATCTTCCCCCACTTAATGGTCTCCTCCAAAAAGTATATTGCATCTTCTTTCGGCCGGATATCCCGGAAGATTACGATGATTTTGGCGTTTATATCTGGTCGTCGACGCCAGACTCGACGCACAATGTAGAGGAAGACAGCTTTCCAGCATACAAACTCGACCATTTCAAGTGAACCGGATGAAGGCAAGGACCCGTTGGCTTTGGCTACAGGTTTGTCTGAGTCTGTATGTAAGTCCGGCCAATGAAGCAGCAAACGGTGTTTGAAGATGCGAATGTCGAGAAGAACATGCTTAGCCCGAAGCTATAATTTGTAAAAGCGCCAAATGAATTTCATGCAAAATTGTCTCCTAGTTCCTTCCTGCTACGTTCGATCATGCAATATCGTCATATCTTACTCATCGTCCATCCCAATTTCTAAAGTGTCTATACTGAGAAACTGGAGGGGGGTGCTCGAATTGCCTGTGATTTCTTCCATCCTCCCTATCTGTATTATGATTAAGGCGATAAACTCTAGAAAAAAAAACAATTTAAACACCTAATGCAAAATTTGCAATTTTGTATTTAGGTAATAGTTTACTACTTATTTTATAGGAAAGTAATAGCATGCACATTCGAACGTCTTGCTCATCCTCTATTTTCTTTTTATAGTCTCCATCTTGACCTACGCTTTTTACGACTCAGATATCACTATTCATGAAATCTTTTGATATCCATTTTGATGTAATTATCAGCCTCAGCAATGATGTAAATACAGGACTTGAGCATATAAAAATAAAATAAGCATAAATAATCCATCCCGGGTAGACTGAGCTGATGCACTGGTGATGGATGAAAATATGGCGAAAAGTGGCAGAACGGGATAGAGAATGGTAATTTAGAGCATCAAGATGTAATAAATTAAACTATACAATAAGAAACAGATTTGAATAAAAAGGTAAACATACGATTTTCTTAATCAAATTGCCTAAAAACTTTAGACGCCCAAATGATGTTAGGACTTTGAGTACAGCCACTTTGTCGGAGCAAAATGAGGAAATACGCAAAAGATAATCCGGCGGCCTCATCGGCATGCCTCAGACGTTTAGCCCCACCCGAAGTGACCAATTAAAGATGGTATGACTCGGATTTTCATTTCGAAGTGTAATTTGTCAGAA